AAGCCACTCCTAGAACACAGAGGGATCCACTTAGTCATGGGACAAAAAGGTATACGATCTCCAATATGTTCACAATATGGGCCTTTGGCACCACGCAGACGCGCAGATCTGGAACACTTGCCTGTCCCATGGCCCTCGAGATCTGGAGCTGGTGGGACACACTATGGCATTATTTGACATGCGCTTGATCCTATTTGGAATATCCACTGACTATCCCTCGAACTGGTTGACATTCCAATGTAATTTGTTCAAACATACCCGCCTGGCCATTCTTATTGAAACAGTGTGGGCCTTTGGGTCGTAACGCCATGCGGGAGCTTCTGGTTTTGTCATATCTGAGCTTCATGACTGTTCTTTTTGAAACAAAGTCACGTCCGGGATGTCTATCTACCTCTCCGTGTGGTGTGATTATCTTCTGTCTCCTCCTCCTCTTCTTCTCCTTCTTATTTCTTCTTTCAACTTTTTTATCTGTGGTTCACATCGGAAGGTAGGCTGTTGCTATCAAATATTGTGTGATTGCTTTACGCTCGACATACATCTTTGTGGAAATCTGCAGGCGGTGTTGCTCAACGAAAATCATGAACACAGCTTTGGGCTCCTACACTGGAAACTATCAGGACCAACATACACAAGGCCCACAAGAAACTAACACAAGAACTTAAGACAGCCACAAGTCAAGAAACCACGCAGCACCCAAGCGGCCTAACTCAGTTGGTTGAGCACGTAAGTGGTACATAGGAAGTTTGATTCCCCACGTCATCCAATCGATTCCCCATGAACCCCTGTGTGACATACTTCGGGTTCACCAGCTGAGAAAGCCGGCTTGTCCCTCCTGGCTGGTTTTCGAAGTTGTCTGTCTTTCCAACCCGCACCAGGTGTTAGGAGCTTGGGTGCTGCTCCCCGCACAGAGCAGCATTAGGTAGGCGTAGACCCATAACCTTAGGATAGTCTAGTCCTGGTTTGGTCCAATGAAGGGCAGTTCTTAGCTTGTAGACCTAGGGGGTAGTATAGTTCGCCTCCCTTTTCGTAATCTTTGACCCTAAACCCAAGTACATAGCCCGGGGTAGGTAGTGTGAGATAAAAGAATACTGAGGGAAGAATAGAGTAGTAAATGGAGCTGTATTACGTAGGACAGCCACTACAAATATTACGATGAATGGACACCACACCCCATCCATCAGACTGCAGCGCTCTGTGCGCCAGGGAGATCCAATAGCACCAATGTGCTGTTTGTCCTAGTCATGGAATCTGTAGCTGCAATGATTCGCTCCAACCCTGAAATTCAGTGGATCCGTGTACTGGAGATCCCAACCCACCTCATTCCAGTTACCTTGCTCTTTGCCTACGACCTCACAGTCCTCTTTTAGAGCCACTCCTGCCAGCCTACAGGCATTGGCACACATGCTCCACCTTTTTGCAATGGCATCAGACATGAAAGTTAACTGGGGAACAAAAACAGAGGGATGGTGGCTCACAACTGGGGATGACCCACCCCCACCGTCCCCCCCAGTTAACTGGAAGCAAAAGGAGGCTGCAATAAGAGTTTTGGGGTTGCGGCTGCCCCCAGACCACGGGGATGTGTTGGTAGACCTGGCCTTTCAACAGACTGTATCATCATCCCAAGCAGGGATGTCTGGCATGTAGTCGTTGAGGGGTGCAGCGCATGTATCAACACATGACATCCGACGTGGAAAGACACCCACAGTGGGTAGGGCTCTTGCAATCAATAATGCCATCTTTGCAGCCATTTGGTACAAATTGGCATTTTTTTGGGCAGCTCAACCACAAACAAATCACTAGACTGAGACAGGCAACAGCAGCATATCTGTGGAGAAACGTACATATGCATCTAAATAGTGGCGCTTGCACCACAGTTTGTGGGCAACAGGCAGATTCACCCCCTATAGTGGTTAACAAACAATCACGGGACCCTTCCCTCCCCGTCCATTTTTTTTTTTTTTTTTT